GGTCTGTTGATTGGTGTCCGCGTGAGCACGTCAAGAACCTGCAGCGTCCAAATTGCTGGGTTCAGTTGACTTTGCTAAATTAGGGACAAGAATATGGCAATGAGCTATGAAAACTAAGACGACTACATGATTAAAGTCGTTTTCAATGTTGGAGTACAGGTATCTGTAAAGATTTCAAATGAACACTCATTTCATCTATAACGACCAAGCATGATTAATGGTCGACCGAAGTATATTCGGAACGGCAACTATCGAACAACCGTTTTGTGTACATGGCGTTTGGCTTTAAGCATCCACATAAACATACTTGCCAAGCCTCTGAAATGTTTCCACGTTTCATTATCTGTCTTGTTTATGCCCTCCTTTTTATTTATTCATATTCACCGACCCCTTTCTTATTGGTCCATCCATCATTGAGTATAGTATTACCCCTAATTGCAGTCAAGGCCTTCCACGACAGATATATTTTTTGCGCATCTGAACGGAAATTCGGCTTTTCTGCTGTGCCATTAAAGTTAAAGCTTCATATGGTCATCGCGTAGATTGAGTAGGCTGTGAGTCATCCGTTTTTTAATAAATACGAAGCACTTGTGTGGCTGAATCATTAACCTGCCAAGCAAAGACTTCTATGTCTACTTATCCCTCTACGTCTACGTGCTATAACAAAAGCAAAGCTCTGAACATGATTAACACATAAAGCGTAGTCACTAACTTTGCGCAAATGTATCTTATGTTTGGTAGACTATTATCGGGTTGGACAGGAACTAACCGTTGTACTCGGTCTCTCTTTACCAAACCTGAATGTCAATTAAATTATTATCGCTTGGGCCGACCCTAAGATTTAATGGCTCTTAACAAATACTACCGCTAATTTAATTTCGTTTGTGGTGTTCAACAAATGATTGGTCAGACGTCAAATATTTACAACGAAAGTTAATTAAAAAAACATTGCATTTTTTAGTTCAATGCACAGTACACCAGTTGCATATTGTTGTGCATTTAGTGACGCAGTAACGACAGAACTCACCCTCGGTGAGGAATTCGCCGACGCAGTACTGAAATAACTAGTTGATGTTTGTGAAATCGCATTGTCCAAGGTAAGCACACACGTCACGCTTCCCTGAACGCTCTTTGGTGTGTCGGCAAGAACAGCCAACTCAGCAACCACCCAAATACTTGGTTGGCGGGAACCTGAAAGAGGTTTCATACAAGTTGCAGGTTCCATTTAGTACTTCATATCTCATGCATATTTTTATAACGTGAATCAGTTGAGCAGTTTTCTGTCAATCTTATCATTTCTCTACAACATTTATGTATTCCCTATTTTGTGCTTGTGTATTAAAAGCTTTATTATACTTCATTACTTGGCCTTTTAATCTGCGCATTCAATTTCGACATTTCATGAATATTGCGCGTAATTGAAAATTTTGCCGCCGTAAATGTAATAGGCTTCCACAAAATGGCATGCCGGCTAATCGAGGCATGCGTTCAATGCAGTTTAATGCAAAGTATCTTCGATTTATACTAAAAAGGTTTTTCTCCGATTCCGGTGGTTCAAAATTCATGAAGTCAATGACAAGAGAAATTTTGAGGTTCGGTAACAGCCTTATCACCAAAGCAGGGCAGTGGAAGCAGGTACTTTAAGCTTACCAGGAATAAAAACCTTGCCGAAATTCACCGTATTCCCTGAGCACCGACCGCGATTAGAGTAGACGTTTGGAAAGGCATGGTTCACGGCAGCCCAATCACTGAACTTCAGTCTACTGGGCAACCTTTCATTTGAATTGGAAACTTCGGCATAGCACTTCAGTGTGTAGTCAGATAGAGTGAAGGGCTGTGGTGTTACAGTGATAAGAAAAGTTCGAATTCCTCCCAGTGGAAACACTCCGATGGAATTTATCGTGAACTTCGAGACGCCAGTGGCTGGTGGCTAATGACGGTAAAGGCAGAGAGAAATGAGAATTTGGCAACTGTGCCCTTGCTATTTTTTAACAAATAAATTCGTGCCAGATGAAATTACATTTTCTTATCAAATATTCTCTTACACTTACTTATTTGATGAAATGTAAAATAACATTTTAGAGTTCGACTTAAGATAAAGAGGTCAGGGTGGTTTAAGATAAATGCAACTAAAGACGACACGTTAATAACAAAGCTGCATTAAATGTCTACATGTAAGCATCCACACGGTATGCCTTCTACGAAAGACAGCGGTCTCTACGTAAATTATGTTTGCTGCAAATAAATACCAACGCATTAACTGCCCTCCCATTCTTTCCCATGTTCCGCTGGAAAACCACACGACAGTAGGAAATAAAGATAAGACCGTGTTGAAACGGAAGTCCTGGCAAGCCGAACTCACCACGACCCTGAAATCGCTGAACTTCAGAGTGATGCTTCGCCGCCAACTCTGACCCTCAATTGATGTTGCCAAATCAATGACAACACGAGGTGGAGCAGCCGATGAAAATTGCAGGTAGAGGTTCCAGGTTATTCGTGCATGTAAGGCTGTTGACGTTATTCCGTGCTGCGTCAACAACACCTCTCCCCTACGCAACACACACAAAAACAGTCCGATTAACTTTGTGACATCTTGCATATCTGGAAACAAATCTACGTCATACACCACAGCACCACCATTCTTGCACTAAGTGAAATTTTGACTTGTGAAGAATCAAGACCAACACGGTGGCTGACATCACATTAGCATATAGGCACAAGCCTCATTTTGAAGACTCATCAATCTTATTCTTCATTGAATGTTCTTCGTTATGTTTACTATTATGATCAATAGTGACGGAGTGAAGCTATTTTAGCAGTTGTAAGTCACACTATCTCTAGTTGCTGCATCATTACTAAAATTGTACTCACTTTCTTCTTGTCAACATTGGTTTGCAATTCGTTTCTACTGTGATCCCCCTGTCTAAACCAGAGATTCGAGCATGCAAAGGATAGACGCCTTCACAGAAAGCATCGGAGGTTAGTTGAAACGTGATGGTTAAGGATGTGACAACAGATGTGATGACGGAAATTTCCAGGATCTGAGTTGCAGCCTCCGATGCAGCCTCAGGTCCCAGCGCACTGAATGAAACGTCAAACTAAAAAGACATTTAGAGTCTCATGTATGTTTTGATCAAGACACACACCTAAGCAGTTTATGTATATTTCAAATTACAAAGTGGATTGTAAGTCTCCCCAAATCATTTCGATTTTTCATCCAATGCATCTAGACACAGGTAGTGCAACCCAAAATGATCAAGCGCAAACATTAATGAAAGACAAAAAAGAACTAACGATTTTGGAAATCTTGTATGTTGATTCAATTGAAGCTTCATTAGAACCACTGATGTTCTTCACTTGAAACTGGCACTTCAGGTGTTCGGCAAGCGCAACGGGAACGAAAATGTCGATTTCAAATATAAGCGAAGTCTCTTGCAGTGGGGAGTGTGGAACAAGCGCGACTGTTAGAAAATAAACAAACACCAAGTCACATAGGTTCATCAAAGCTCCACGAATCCGACTTGAGAATGTGTGCCAATTTTAATCAAGTCTTTGACCAATTAATTCGTTTGAATATCCTTGACCACAATTTGTAATAGACTTTTTGCAAAAATGCATGTTGATCGGGTGAATGTGGCACAAACTAGTTACCACACTCCAAACCTTCTTTTGTCAATGAACTCTTGACTCTCACGAAAAACGTTACACCCTCACCCACTCCTATGCGATTCAGCGTTTTTACATCGTCTTCTGACCTCCAGGGCTTCACAATATCCTCACAAATGTAGCACATCGGTTGACGTCAACAACTGATGTGAACCTCAATCTCTATTTTTTAGAACGTTTTGTAAGCCTCCTTGCTTCAAATTTGTCTTAAGTAATCGAAGCCAACACATTTTGTCAGCATATTATCATTAAACATTCCTTTGATCCTTATCATTACTCATTGGACTGCCACAATTATTGTGGCAATTGTTTAATTTTGAACGAAGCATTTTGTTGCAACGATACAATCTTTGATTTTTGCTCACAACAGAGATTATGTTTTACACCACCTTCATCAGCCCATAGCATAGTTTGTAACATTTTGTAAAAAACTGCGCCAGTGCCTCTTTGCTGAACTTCGTGTTCGTCGGATGTTTTGGGTGCCTCATGGTCACTCCTGACACGACCAAAAACACACAAGGGCGCTGATGTCAACAGGTGCTGCGTGTTTTGCCATAAACATCAGTATTAACAAGAGACGCGACAAGCAAAGGTATCTGGCTCGGCTGAGCACCTTGGATGGGCAGTTTTGTCAAACGATAATTGATGCCGTGCAGTCAGATATGCGTGAGAGGATTTTGAGCCGTTCATTAACTCGCGTCGCCATATTCATGAGAATGTATTCTGCTGATGTATCTCTTCATTCAGAGTTCGTTTCACCTTATCAACAAATCGAAAACATAAATAATATTGAATCCATTAGAAAACCATAGTTGATTTCGCAAAATGACTGAATTTGAATGTAAGCTTACTATCCAATTAGTGTGTTGGTTCAAGATCTGATTTGATTTTAACAGCATAAGATGAGTCATCTAGATCGATACAAGCAATGCACCACATACACAGACAAGAGGACTTGAAACATTCTGAAACATGGACTTTGATCATGGCAACATTTCTCACGCAATCGTCCTGAATTTATGTCTTAGCGACGGAACAGCGATCACAAAGCTCAAATAACTTGGCAGAATAGAAATAAATTTGCCGACTCCTTCAGCTGGTTTTTATAAACAAAATTGCTCTTCCATAAATTGGTCACAATGAAGGAGTTCAATTTCATTAATGGGATTTAATGACCACACGTTATGTCCTCAGGCAACGTTTTACGACATTCGTATCGAAATAATTTTGAAATCACCTTCAAAGGAGATGCAGTTAGCACTTTTGAATCATAGTGGCAATTGTGTAAATCACACGTGTGGAAAAGAGAATCAAGATAAGCTTACGGAAGTTATCGCCAACTTCGAAGGACAGCTCGAGAATCGTGCTTGATTGATCCGTTGATGTCGCGTTTTCCAAGGGCTCAGTTCCTTGCCCAATTGGAAAAGTTGTTACAATTTGTCTTACGTCAATTAGTGTGCTGTTCAGAGTTATGGTAACCTAAAATGCCAATTTAGCATTAATTAGACAGTTTAACTATTCCCAATTTTGGCGCACCTTGTTTTTCAAACGTCATGGTAGAATGCATGCCAGATTTTTTCGCTAAACTCGACTAATCTAGTTAATAAATGCTCAGTACTGTAGATTTAAAAAAAAAACAAATTGAATTAGTCAGTAAAATATCCTTGAGATTGTTTTTGAAATTGCCACTGGCAAAAGTATTGGAACTAAATGTCAGGAGCCGTGAATACAAATAGTACACAAGTACAAAGGTAGGCACTGACTCCATGCTTTTACTTAGAAAAACGTGATTAGTAATATTTTGCACAAATCCAATTAACACAATCTGTCGATCTACATTAATTTACCCAGACACAACACAACACACCCACACATATCGCAAACGACTGCTAGAAGCCAAACTTTTAGGGCGAAAGAGTATCTAGTAACTGCTGGGACGATAGCCATTATAGCTTGGAACACCTATGAGATTTGGCAGAAACGAATGAGTCTTAGTTTAAACACATTTTGGGTAAAATCATGGTGCAGCATCAGTAAGCATTAAAACCATCTCTAGTTGAACAAGACGGCTTACTTTAATAACACCGGCATGCAGCGTCCGCAGAGCCAATGCAAGCGTGTTTGTTGTGCCCGAAATGAGCTGAGTGCTGCTAGAAATGTCTTCCAGCAAAAAACTGGGTTGAATTCCATGGTCATGTCTAGAAATTCTAAAGTGTACTTTTGTTGATGTAGTCTGAGCTGTCATCGAGTATAACTGAACATCGAAATAGCTGTCGACAAATACCGACGAAGACGGTATTGGGGGTGAAATAGCCACTACAAGGATGTCTAGGCAGTAGCATCTCTTGGGCGTATCCAAGCTGGAAACACCTAGGCACTCTAGTGACATCTCAGTGTGTACCTACAATGAAACAAAAATTTGCTGCTTATTTTGTTATTCATAAATTCTGGAAATGTGGCTTATGCAGAAGTCAGCAATTTCGTCTCCAAAATTGAGCTTCCTGCATGATTGCAAGGTATAAAACGGATAACATCGAGGCAAGTTGCCATTTACACACCAGGTAACATCTTTTAAAAATTCCAGAGGTAAATTATCGCACACTCATTACTCTATTTGCCTACGATTAATATTCAACTCAACGTTTCAGGATTGGAGATAGGGACACGTGAAACCATTATTGACTAACCGGTTTGTGGTTTTTTTCGTATTTTTCTATAGGACACAATAAGTACCTGCTGCACAACTAGTAGCACTCATTCAGCGTAACCATAATCAACTAAAACGCAGCACTCAGCAAGCTTTTGATCTCCACCTGATTTTACCTACATGTACAACCTAGGTTCATTTGTAACTATAGTACGCCAAAAAGAGTGAATGAGAGATTTTAGTTTGTGAGCAAACTGTCATCCCACGATCTCCAAATAGAACCAACCTGTCTACTCACTCTAACCGAAAATTACCACTTAAAGAACATGCAAGCTCTACTACTGACATCGAAACTGCTGGATATTGGCCATGTGCTTACGTCGGAGAAATCAATGACGACCAGATCAGCGTCATCGAGATCGAACTCGGGGCTTGCGTAGGTCACGCCAACTATGTGAATAGAGCCACCTGTGATAGTTTCTTTCATTTTAAAGGGTCCGAGTATTCGCAGAATACCATTCAGAGTGTAGTCCACCGGAAGACAAAGTTGGATGGTGAACTTCGTTCCGAATTCGGAGGGAGTCGTTGTCAATTCAGGTGGTTTGATAGTCATACGTGGCTGCATCGGCAATGTGCAATCCTGTGACTGATCGCTGTCAGCATCCGGTGTCTTTAATTAACCGAGAACACTTCTGCAGTTCAACGAACATCTCAGACAAAACAGGCCCTTCAACTGCTTCGATGAATTAAATTCTCAGGCCAAATCACTGTCTGATGCTGCATTAAGGCCGCTGGCATTTAGTTATATCGTAACATATTCGTGCATTCATATGTTGCTATTTGGACCTATTTCTTATTCGATCTGGGTACAATTGTTTACTAGGATCCCAATATCCATTTGCATCAGACGAAGCTCAACGTTTGTCATTGGTCACGCGTTCAAGCTGAATGCAGAGTTGCACTTACGTTTGACGGTACTTCAAAGAAACCGTATGGAGGTCCATTCAACACTGTCACCCGCGTCGATCCATTCGCCTCTTTGAACTCACCGTAGTTTCTCGCTACTACAGTAAACGAGGCCCGTCCGATGGTCTTCCAGACTTTGAAATCAGCATTTGTGTTGAAGTAAATTTTCCCTTTGTGGTTAATCTTGAAGAGAGGTGGCTCGGAGGCTGCATAGGTAATAAGGTACTCCATGCTTTGACAATCAGCAAGAGGAAAATTCGGTGAGACACAAAGATCCTTGTCGGTGGCGATGAGCTGAACCACCTTCTGCGTATAATCGTGCAAGCGTGGCCTCACTAAATATTCTGAGGCTGTGAATTCCGGCGGATTATTATCTAATGCAAAAATGATGCACTTTTCATTAAAGTGAATAAAATATTTTGAATCCAACACAACTTGGCAAAAAAGCCCATCCGATAATCTCGACTTCAATACGTTCATTGTTCGCGCATCAACTCTCTCATCAACATCATTGAACATGCTTTTGACATAAGTTGCTTCTTTTGCAGCAATCCATGCCATGTGTGTTTTATTACCCTGCCCTACCTTTCACGAAATTTTAGCAACATTTTCGGAAAAATGCGTTCTATTTTACGGCTAACACTCATTGTGCAGATTCATCCGCACACACAAAAAAGAATCAACACAAAGTGCACTTCGTCCAGGCATCGGAGTCGATTTATGAGGTTTTAAGGCACTGTTGTGCATTATGTCGTTTTCAAAAGTGCATGTTGTACCTAGCAGCATTCAAATGAATTGCGAGACACGCAAAAGGCACCTCCGTTGGACCACAAATTTTAGAAATGCCATAACAATGGCACTTGTTCTATCCTGCACAAATTCTACAACTCAGTTGACCAGTAGACAGACACAAAATTCGCATAAAGCTGCTCCTCAAATCAATGCAATTAACTAATTAAATAGATTCGCTTTCATTTTAGATTATTTGTAAAATTGTAACACCCTATTCTGTATAGATTCAAAAAACGCACACGGAGTTTCACATGTAGTGCCTTGTCTGCACGGCACGCATCGTTCGAGTAAGGTGGGCGCGTCAGAAGATCTAAAATTAAATTGGAGGGAAGAAAAATATGAATGCAATTTAGGCAAAACTTACAAATCGGTGTTTAAAAGAGCAGGCATGAAAACACACTGATGGCCAAAAAAGTGCATTCAAACCTAAAATAATCGAGTGGCATTTTGAGGATCCATGGATTGGCAAGCGTATAATTTAGGCAAGACAATTAATTTCGATGACTTTCATCATGTCATCTATTGTAAAGACTCATTTATTTTGAGAGCCAATTATTTGCATTTAGCGTGAGCAGCATATAGATTAAAATTGGCAAATTCAAAGGCACTATAATGTAGATGGATTAGTGAGTGTCGTAAGAGTTTCACTTCTCTCATCATGTTTGTGAATGGTTCAGCATCGCTTTCTTCTTCTTCTCGGCATTTTCTTAATTCAGTCACAGTCAACTTTGGTAAATGCTAGTGTCCGCGTTATGGTACTGTGAGAAGAGTTGTCCTCTTATCACATTTAATACTTCAGATTCACTGTCAATGGAACTACTAGTAAAATTAACAAGATAAAGTAAATTTTAAGGATGCCTTGACACTTGAAGTCAAAATATTCATTAGTTGTGTCTCACCTCAGACGTTTGCATGTGTCATGCTGCAGCAACTGGGCGCTTGAGATGAAAACATTCGCGGTCCTTCCTTCATGCATCATCAACCAAAACAAAAAAACCAGCTTCATTTTTGACGAGAAATACGGCTGTCCAAAATTTCCGTTTATCAGAGTATCGAGGCCCAATAAAAACTCCGTTCCAGCCAATAAGCTGACGACACACTTTCAGAATGTCTGCGACTACGTACAGTGCCAATCATCGCGTTGGAAACGTAGAAAAGAAACAAAACAAAAAATTATCACAACATGAAAAAGTAGTGCAATGAGTTCTGTAGAAGGTGTGCAGGACCAATCAACTTCGAATTTGTTGCCTTTCACAAACCATGAAAAGTACTGAAGAAGGAGTCGTGCGATACCACGTAAGGCGTCCATTAGACATGAATGAATTAATACTGGTTGCATATTCATAAGTAGAATTGACGAGACCTTAGCGCCATGCAAAATCATGCATGCTGGTTCAAATTTTACTGGAATATTTGTCCGTTATATTTTCATCCTGATGAATCTACAGCATTTTGATATGAATTTTTTAATACACTCTGTTAGGTTGTTAACGATTAGTCAGCTGCAAGGTACTTTTATCAAATAATTCAGAAATTATTCATGCTGCTGTCATTTCCTACAAGACACTGCGACTTAAAAACGAGTCCTGACAAAAAATTTTCGGCTCATTGAAATGTCACTCGAATGGATTGTTAGCTGCAATTATTGCTTCATCATGAGATTGTTTGCGACGCCAGCATTTAAATTCAAGTCAGACAATCCACTTGGAAGTCTGGGTCTATGGTCAAATGTTGATACCATCAAATCTTCAGTCGCGCAGCTCTCCAGTGCTAATGTATTCTCACTCCAAGGGGCAAAAACACTTGAGACGCCATCCTTTTCGTCATGACACGTTAACTGCCATGACAAACACGATCGACTCTAGCGACACTCCTTCGCATGTCCTTCAGATGCCTATCTGCAGTTCTCCCAGATTCCCTCTGAAACTTGACTTTCAATGAGCTTCTGCTCTTTAACCGACAAAATCGCCTTATGATCTACTTACGGCGGTCACCTCAACTGCTTCAAATTTCCATGATATCAGTGGTGACGCTTTTATTAGTAGACAATGCTCTGCTTGTAGAACCGAAAAACAGCGTCTGATTGACGCGCTAGCCTACGTTTTGTGCAGCGAACAAATGTAGTCTCACAAGCCACAACAATTTCAACCACAATTTTCTGAGAAATTATCCATACCCATTCAACCCAAACCATAGGCCGACAAAAGGTCGAATTACAACCACGTAGAAGAAGGTGTCGTCAGTTGGTCACATCAAGGCATGCATGGGTCAAACTTTCCAACCGGTTACGCAACAGGCAAACGTGAAATCTGCAATTGCTAAAGCTTGGATTAATTTGCTGATCAATCAGTGAATGGTCGTCACTAACATATTTGGCTGTAGTCTAAGAATGACTGGCAATAACCACCATCTTATATCTTGCCTCAAAGGAATTTTCGTACATTTTTCTTCACAAAAATATGTATCTTCTAAGTTTAAAGAACAGTTGCAGGTTTTTGATGCAGCATCTAATACACTAAGAGCGGACGTAGTGGTAGGTGTGACACTCATTGCAGCATCCGAAACTCAGTCTAAGTCTCACAGCTAGACTAAAATAATGTTTTTTTTTAAAATAAACCACAAGTATTTGTCGACGGAATTGAAATTAAACGTAAAAAACCTTCTTTTTTGTTACCGACATCTGAGAGCATTGTCGGTGTTCCATACTTGAGATCTATCGTCACACAATTCACTTATTTGTTGGCGTCTAACCACAGTCTATCAAATCACGTGGCGCCTCCATGGACATTATCAACTTCATGTTTGACACCGAAACGTTACGTGGACACGAAATTATGTGTGTTACCAAGCACCCTAGATGTTCATAGCAAAATAAATTCTCCTTATCCAAAGTACGTATCTACAGTATGGCGCCTTTTTGTGCTAGGAAGGATTTTGTCATCAAATAGCTTACCTTAATATCATTGCCAGATTGTTAACAGATAAGGAATATATTATAAATCAGGTCTTTTTTTCCAAACCTAACTGCGGCTATAAGAACAAATGACATACGAACGACAGCTGAGCATTCTTATTAAATGGCGTGATTGAGCGTTGTAACTGTCAATACGTCCATCATCATCAATATTTTCATTATCCAAACTGCCGTGGCTAGACAAGGGCCACAAAACAGCGTCCACAATTTTCTACGTCCCAAGCACAACAGACGGTGTTCTCCTGCACTCAACGTAGATATTGTTTTTTTCCAAAACCTCATGCCAATCAACGAGTTGAAACTTTGAAAGCGAAAAAATACATCTACCCATGCATTGTATTTGTTTGCGCCACATTAGTTGACATTCAACTATCAGCTTTAATGAGGGGCATAATATTTATTCACCAGACTGCTTTGGTTTTTTCACTCCGTCGATGCCAGTGTGTTTGTCCGATCATCACCTATAAGACTGTATCGTCAAACAGTATTAACAGTTACCTATTCAAGATATTTACAATTCTTCAGCTTTTGTTGTTGTTAATCTAGTAACTAAGGGTCATTTCATGATACGGGAGTGATTTGCAAGACGAATGAGCAAATTAAGAAACATGTAGTTGCGAGATCATGATTCAAAATTGATTATACTATTAGGAGATTCTGCAGGCAAAAATATTATTACACGCAGTTCCCCCTATTATTTAACCCACTACTCATGGGTAAGTTTTCATGCCAAAACAAGTGGCGGTATGCCAACTAAACAAATGTCCATTTTAATTGAGCGCACGAATATCTCCTTTGCCTAACTTAACACGCAGTGGTGGTTCGATTACAGACGGTCGGTGACATTGGCGAGGCAGGAGAGAACATCGCAGTTGGGCAAAGTACGACTGTGTGATGCAACGTGATTTATGTGAAAACCAGCAAACATTATTTCACAAAACTTTTACTGCCTGCAGTCAAACCCTAGCATCTAACATGACTTGCCGTACAATGCATGAAGTGGCTATGAGGCTTTATTTTCGTTCCTTGTTCATAAAGAGAAAAATGTAGTTGATATGAAACCCAGAACAGCTGAATTGTCCAGAATTTCAATAAAATATAACAGCTTTGAGGTCAGCCACGGTCGCTGTTTCTGCATCCGCACGTGCCATTACCTCCAAACTTTCATCAGCGTGCCTCGCTTCCTTTCTCAGTCCTCCAGGGTCTAGCTCATGCCTACAATTGGGCAACGTAATAGCTGACTTCGCAACATCATATGTGCATCAATTTTATTTATTCAGTGGCAGACACTAACTAGTAGAATGACACGACGGATCTATCTGTTGGCAATTCGGTGTAACTCACTCACTGAAGCATCTCATAATGACGCAGCTCGTTGGACAGAGAAGCTAGCTCTCAAATCTGCACATAATCAGATCGACTTTGATGAAACCCTCGGTCGATTCTATGCCGAAGTAGTTGATGTGAAAACGTTAAAAATATGGAGACAACTCTGCTTCTCAGAGTCGGAATTGTCGTGGTCAAATCAATTTTATGCGAACCTGTCCAGGTTGCGAATTCCCAGACACCAAAGGCGCTGTTTTTCTGTACTCAATGGCGACAATTTTT